CCCCCCATAACGTACGCTCCAAAATATAATGATAAATATATAAAAGGGTTAAAACTAGGAAATATGGAACTACGAACTGTTGCAGTTCGTAGATACTAAATATTTCTTTGGAACAAAACATTTTTATTAACATTTTAGACAGTTTTGTAAAGACTTCAGGACTAAAGTAAATAACGATAAATCTGAAGTGACTTCCAGTAGGAAGTAAGAGATAAAGAGATTAAAAAGATGTTTCCAACCATACAAAATTTCAGTAACTCTTTATTATATCGTAGGCATATGATAAAACTCTACTTAGATGGAAAGAAATATAAAACACTTCTATAGGATATGTGCAGGCTGTGAAATTAACTCTGAGCCCAGCCTTGACACTCAGTAATGTCTTGAACATTGGCATTTTGTGAACTGTTTTACATAAAAAAAGAATTTCCCAAGTTATCAGCTTTTCCATGTACTCTGGTCGAGTTACAACATCAAGTAAATGTTGAATAAGGAAAGTATTCTTACCTGTCGCTAGATCCCACAACACCGGCAATAGAAGCGCGCACTGTAATAGGCTGATAAATGTCTTCATTTGATATCCTAACATGACTGACTTTTACGGTAAATTTTTCTTAACGACTGTTAATATATTACTTACAGACAGTCAGTCTTGCCTCAGCACATGTAAATCACCTCAGGGACAACGCGAAATTTCTCGTAACACTGTTTTTTCCCTATAACATATTGGAGTTAGCACTCGACATAGAGGCGGCCATCTCGGACAGGTGTAGTCTAGGTAAGTAATTCCCGCGCAATGACGGTACCGTTTGGCAAGATGATTTCAGATATGGGATATGTACAGATGACATTTTAACGATGTTATTCGCAATGGGAATATACAATCCTCGTACCCATTACGTGGATGGAACACTATCTGTTGCGCATGCTCTCAATATGCTTCACGACCCAATAGCTTGTTGATTGGCCTGTAGGGCTGTTGCACCTGAGTTCTGGCGTGTGTACTAGGCAAAAGTGATTATACCATATCTAAGGAAAGTGTAGCTGAAACTCATACGTAACTTGTATACTAAATTACACATTTTGTATTAAACTAAATTACACATTTTGTATTAAACTAATCTCACTGAATCTACATTGCGTGTCAACCTTGTCAGAGGCCAATTAACAGTTTTATTCATAGTGGCCACTGTGTATTATGGGGGTACTTGGGAGAGCAAAAGGCTAACGTTAATTGTGACAACGTCAATTTTGATAACGTTCTTGGCAATAACGTCAATGTGGAAAGGTGCGGATGGGATGGAGAAAGCGCGGCGTTAAGATAAAACAATAACCGGGAAAGATTTCCATATCAGTCCCTTTTTTATCGATAGTTCAAATATTATAAAATTGCCAGGTCGATAAACTTTAGCTAATATTGTGGGCTGGGGAAAACAAAAATGACCACATTGACCTGTCTTCCCCGTCCCCGAATATGTATGGGACGCCAAATTAACATATATTCAAAGAATTGTACCTATCTTCTAATAATATTGAAGATATGTACAATTCAATTGAAGATAGGTACAAATAATTGGAAATATGTTAATTTGGCGTTCCATAAATATGAGCTATTAAACATATCGCCTCAAAGTGTGTCAATGTTTGGCTTACATTGTGTTATACGAAGTTCGAGTTAACCGAGTTTGACCCTCCTGTTGAGAAGGTCAACGACTGGCGGTGTCTTATTGAGATATATGACGTGTTGTTCGAGGGATGGAGGTCCATTGTCGGGACTGCGGTAACACATCCCATAATTCAAATGTCACCATTGTACCGGCAGCTTGCTACAGCAATTTTCTATAGCATGATGGTCAGACTTCAAGAACCAGTTTATGTAATCTCGAAGATCTTAGTCAAGTAAGTTTTAACGCAAGTGCTGAACAATTTACGACTCGGCAAGACCAGCTTACTATACCCCATTGTACAAAAAAAGTTTGGCTATTGTGAAGAAAAACGCCAAATTAATAGGGGGGATAACCATGGTTTAACATACCCGGTAAACTATATATTATAAAGAATACAAGAGGGCTTGAAAGCTTTTAATTTGCTCGTGTCAGAATATAATAGAAACGGCCTTGCCAATAAGAAACGGCTATTATGTAGTTGGAAATGAAGTTAAAACGAGATTATCGGGGACATCAGGCTAATATGTTAAATTTGAAATAAGAATTATAACTATAGGGCTTCGGTGTTTAGCATGGGAATACCAACATACTGATGCTTATGTTTATTAAATTATTAAGAAGAAAAAATATTGATATTTTCATGACCGGTACTATAAATGTTGCACGAAGTCAGAGATATTTTATTTCGTTTTAAAAGACATAAGGTATGAATTCCATTTCTAGGCTAATAATACAAAAGAAATATCAAAACCTAGCTAAATATTTAAAATTTACTAATGAGAGAAGGACTTGTGCTCTGCATACATTGAAGTTATTACCGCCTCGTTTGTGACTTCTGCCGCCGATTTATCCCTTTCTATACTGATTCTGTGACGGTAATATGTTTCTACATCCTGTTTTTAGTATGTCTTGTGTCTTTCTATACTGATTCTGTGACGGTAATATGTTTCTACATCATGTTGTTTGTATATGTCTTGCGTCTTTCTAAACTGATTCTGTGACGGTAATATGTTTCTACATCCTAGGCCCGTATTCATGAAACCGTTCTCATGCCCAAGCATGGATTTTGTATATTATTGACACATATAGTGTACGGATTTAATTAACACAACACCTTATTGGCGACAAGTATAAGCTAATTTAAAAACTGACCATAACTTAGATGTCAAATTTCTCTGACTAGAGTTGCAACTTCAAATTGATTCCCCCGCCTTATCGACATACGGTTCTTAAGACTGATCTCACCTTAAAGTACGTCCTTAAGACGACATAACATGAGGTTCTGAAAAAACGACCCCCCCCCCCCCCCCCCCCCGACATAGTAACGTTCCTTACTTACGATGACTCCCCACTGTAACGTCACCTAACGACCAGGTAAATAATTCAAATCGCTCACTCAGTCATAACTTGACAAAGGTACCAGTCGGTCTTGAAACGTTGCGACACGTTTAATACGTACATTGTTTGTGTAAAAAGTAAAACTTTGATATCACATATTTCCAAACAGTTGAATCTTATTGAAGATATGAAATGTTGATATCAATATAATGAATTGACGATACCACTAAATTGACTGGACATACCACTATAATGAATTGACGATACCACTATAATAAATTGACGATATCACTATAATGAATTGACAATATCATTAAAATGAATTGACGATATCACTATAATGAATTGACCCCATCACTAAAATGAATTGACGATACCACTATGATGAATTGACGATACCACTATAATGAATTGAAGATACCACTATAATGAATTGACGATCCCACTATAATGAATTGACGATACCACTAAAATGAATTGACGATACCACTAAAATGAATTGACGATACCACTAAAATGAATTGACGATACCACTAAAATGAATTGACGATACCACTATAATAAATTGACGATATCACTATAATGAATTTACAATATCACTAAAATGAATTGACGATATCACTATAATGATTTGACATACCACTATAATGAATTGACGATCCCACTATAATGAATTGACGATATCACTAAAATGAATTGGCGATACCACTATGATGAATTGACGATACCACTATAATGAACTGACGATACCACTATAATGAATTGACGATCCCACTATAATGAATTGACGATACCACTTTAATGAATTGACGATACCACTAAAATGAATTGACGATACCACTAAAATGAATTGACGATACCACTAAAATGAATTGACGATACCACTAAAATGAATTGACGATACCACTAAAATGAATTGACGATACCACTAAAATGAATTGACGATACCACTAAAATGAATTGACGATACCACTATAATGAATTGATGATATCACAAAAATGAATTGACTATACCACTGTGATGAATAGTTGAAATCACAACAGTGAATCGGTGATATCATTACAATGTATTGGCGATCTGGCTAAGATGAATTTGTTATATAAGAATTATAAAGTGGCGATATCAATAAAATGAATTGCCGATACAACTTTAACACTTTGGTGATATAACTAGAACGAATTGACGATATCACTATAATGAATTTACAATATCACTAAAATGAATTGACGATATCACTATAATGATTTGACATACCACTATAATGAATTGACGATCCCACTATAATGAATTGACGATATCACGATAATGAATTGACGATACCACTATAATGACTTGACGATACCACTATAATGAATTGAAGATACCACTATAATGAATTGACGATAACACTATAATGAATTGACGATACCACTATAATGAATTGACGATATCACAAAAATGAATTGACTATACCACTGTGATGAATAGGTGAAATCACAACAGTGAATCGGTGATATCATTACAATGTATTGGCGATCTGGCTAAGATGAATTTGTTATATAATAATGATAAAGTGGCGATATCAATAAAATGAATTGCCGATACAACTTTAATACTTTGGTGATATAACTAGAACGAATTTGCGATATCACTATAATGAATTCGTGATATTTCATTGTAATTAATATGAGATATCACCATAATGAATAAGCGGCACCAGTATTATAATGAAATGAAGATCACTTCAAGAAATAGGTGGAAGTGTGATATCACTAATCCTTTGTGATTATATCATTTCATTGTTACATGTCTATTGGTACAGGACTCAGTTTTAGTCGGGTGTTTTTTTACACCATCAATCAAGATATAACACTAATGTAATCAAAACGTGTGTCGACTAAACTAATGGCATTAATCTGTATAACACTTACATAGACAATCTACAGATTGATATTCGATTAGTTGGCAACATTGGCAAATGATTCCAAATGTAGAGTGGCAACAATAATAAGGACACATTTTTCTAGGAAATGTATTTAAAAATATAAATACAGAAATTCTGTGTACCGGGTCACCCTGAAACGTGACTGTTGATTTAAAACAGTGTCCTTTGTATTGTTTATCATTGCTGTCTATCAATCCCTAGCACCTGGGCCTATATTTTACCTCGCCAGTTATTGTAATGCTATCGTTTATTTTACCGTTCCGTGAGAAACGACCGTGAAATTCAATGACAAGATTTCAGGCGCCCAGCCAACCTGTGTCAACAGGGAAGATAACTCCCAACAATACCTCAATTTAGACAATTACATGTAAGTAGCGGTACTAAAAGGGCCGTTAACCTCCCAAACATTTAAACGAAAGCAAGATTTGACAATCGGGACCACAAAGGTGTGACAATATACAAACATATGATAACTTAGGCTAATTGACAGTGTTTTACGTGTCCTATGGCAGACATTTCAGAAAAAACCCATATAGGAAGTAAATGTGTTCCGAACAACTGTATAAAAACAGTGTCTGATAAAGCGTGTCGTAAATCACGCCTGATTGTTAGTAAAACCATCCAGATGAAGTATTATTAATTGTTACTTAAAATATTCTA